CTATTCATCTTATCTTTTATAGGAACAGAGACATATCATCTACAAGCTTCTGTTGTGTGACTTCTTGAGGAGACATGAACAAATATCTACCCCAGTTAGTGAACATCTGAGTTTATTGGGATTACTAACAACATCATGGGTGACTGAAAGACAGCTGCATTGTGCTAAAGCCTACTCAATGTGCACATCGACTCACAAAGGCTGTGTCCCTGCAGCTTGCTACACAGCTTGCAGACAGCTCCCCTGAAGGAGTCTTTCCAGCCTGTGCACACTGCATTGTGTGACCTTGGGGCAGGGAGTCTTCTCTTTTTCTTATAGGTCTGTTAGCTTCCTGAGTCTGTGACCACCTTCCTTCCATTAGGAAGGAATGTTTAAGTTTGGAGGAAATAGTTGTAAAGCAGCTTCTAGCAGCTTCCCTTGTGTCTCATTGGTGTTACAAAATGTTTCAAAGGGAAAAAAAATATTACTAGATCGTTTTCCAGTGCAGTGCCAAACTTGATTTTCCAATGTTCTAACTTTTGCACACTAATCCAGCAATTTCAATAGGTCAGTCATTCACGGATTTCCTTTTGGAGCTTTTTGCTGTTGTTCATTTATTTCGCTTTTGGCCAGTTGGTCTTGTCACCTGGTATTCCTGGTAGTTTTGAGTGACTGAAGAATATAGGTGAGTTATTAAGAGATACTGGGTGATGTTAATCTCCTCTACAGCTGGTGGTTACATCAGAGGCAGATCACCTTGCTCTAGTCAAGGACTGGGCTAGGTTAAAGATGGATTTTAATGTCCTGGAGGGTCAACTTCTAGTGTGTAACCCTCTCTACCTCACCTTGTTGGTTTGGTTTCTGTTGCTATGACAAAATACTCCAACAAAAGCAACTTAGGGGAGAAACTGTTTGCTTCATCTCACAGTCCTGGGGCACAGTTTGTCATCACAAGAAGTCAGAGTAGCAGAGCTTAAGGGAGCTGGCCAGTTACATCCATAAAAAAGAACAAATAATTCGTTCATGTCACGCTCAGACCACTCTAATCTTGTTATTCATTCAAGGGCTAGCCTCTGAAATGATGTCACCCAAAGTCTGGCTGGGTCTTCTTCCCATTTAAGCCAGTTAGGAAAATCCCTCACAGGCATGCCCACAGGCCACCCTAATCAGGACAGTTCCCCTTTGAGAATCCCTTCCCTGGTTGATTCTAGATTTTTGTCAAGTTGACTGACAATTTAAACAAAGCACACCTCCCTACCTTTACCCTGTTCCTGTTTTCTCCCTTCCTAGCCTCTCCCCTCCCCTCCCCTCCACTTTCATCTTCTCACCTCTTCTTTTTCACACCTTCCTACACTCCCTTTCTTCATTTATCTTTTTATTTGTTGAGATGAAATCTTGCAATGTTGTGTAGGCCACCCTCTAGCTCATGGTCCTCCTGTCTCAACTTCCCAGAGTAGCCGGGTCCAGCTTCTAGTTTAATTTTATCTCTTAGGGTTTCTCATCTGCCTTGTGCCCATACCATACATTAACAGTTTTCTGCATTCCCTGCTAGAGTGGTACGTTTACTACAGCCAGTGAGCCTGCATGACATTACCACTTGTCTTAGTCACTGTTCTGTTGCTGTGAAGAGACACCATGACTAAGGCAATTCTTATAAAAGAAGGCATTTAATTGTGGGCTTGCTTACAGTTGAGAAGCTTAGTCCATTATCATCAATGTAGAGAGCATGGCAGCAGGCAGGCATGGTGCTGGAGAGGTAACTTATAGCTATATCCTGACCCATAAGTGGAGAAAGAGAGGAGAGAGAGAGAGAGGAGCAAGAGAGGAGAGAGGGAGAGAGAGAGGAGAGACTGGGATGGGCTTTTGAAACCTCAAAGTCCACCCCCAGCATCACATTTCCTCCAGCAAGGCCACACCTCCTAATCCTTCTAATCTTTACAAAGAGTTCCACTCCCTGGTGACTAAGCATTCAAGTATATGAGCCTATGGGGGCCATTTTTATTCAAACCACCACCCCACTCAAAGTCCATAGTTTACACAGGGCTCCTTCTTGATGTTGTGTGGGGACTGGAAGACACATGATGGCATGAATGCGTCAAACTGAAGCAGGTTTTGGCGCCCAAATCCTTTAGGCTCTATTACCTCAGTCTTCCTTCTCCTTAGCCTCTGGCAGCCACTGTTGTTTTTATCATCTTCATTATTTTGCCTTTTTCTTAGTGTCACATTGTTGGAATCATATGCTGTGTAGGCTTCTTAGACTGGCTTCTTTCACTTAGCAGTATGTGTTTAGTTTCTACCAGGTGGTTTCCTGACTTAATAGCTTATTTCTTGTTAGCACTGAATGACACTCCATTGTCCAGATGTGTCAGTTGACTTGACCATTTATTTACTGAAGAACATCGAATTTGCCTCCATGCTTTAGCAATTGTGAATACAGCTAATCATGGAAGGTGTGGTGTGGACCTAAGATTTAACCCCATTGAACACACTGTTATATGTTCAATGGGGTTAAGCCAAGACATAGGATTTAATCCTCAGGTTCTAATTTCAGTGGTCACATTTTCTGTTACAAGTTCTGTTTGGCAATTCCCTTCATCAACACCATCTCTTTGGTGTTTCTACTTCAAGTTTTCTCTTATTTCCTTTGTGATTTTAAGCATTTAAAATGCACTTAGAGTCTGTATCTTATTTGGTTGTCTGAAAAACCCAGGCATCTGATACCGTTGTATATTTCTGCTGGTTCTTAGTCTACATTTGCTTCTGCCAGATGAGCAAAGAGGATGTTAACAATTGAACATTCAGTTCTGTTCTCTTGGCTCAGGGTCTCCATGACCACCCAGCTGGTGCATATCTGCATCTCCAGTTTGAGTGAGTGCTGTCCATCACTCAGATTATGAACTTTCTTTCTGAACACACACAGGCATGCTTCTTAGGCCACATAGTCACTGTCTGGTGTGGTGTGGTGTGTGTGTGTGTGTGTGTGTGTGTGTGTGTGTGTGTGTGTGTGTGTATGTGTGTGTTTGGGGGGGGTTTCTGCATTTATGGATGTGTACTAGCACCATCTGACCCATTACACAGACTTTATGTCTTCTGCTCTGACCGTTATAGACAGCCCACAGCTTTCTGAGACCACTACATCCTCAAAGGCTGCCTAGGAGTCAACACCTACTGTCCACTCTGATTTTCAGTTTCTTTTCATATTAAATCCCCAGGAGATTGGCTGCATCATGAGCTCAGCTCATGAGTGCCTATTTGTAAACTTTGTTTAGCATTTGGGGACCTCTATAGGACAAGATTTTCATGTTATCCTGGTTCTCTCAAATTCAGAAATAGAAATCTTAATGGACATCTCACACACTGCTGGCTTAATACAAGACTCAATAAGTATTTTGCCAATATCATTGTCAGTATTGTTGCTTTCACAACATGTGAACAGTTTGGTAATCACATATTGTAAAATTTTGGGATAACTTGCCTGTCAACCCAGGGTATGGTACTGGATGAGGTGTGACGTATACTGCACTACAAAAACAGTAGACAGCCAGGCCTACACAGAGAGTTCTGGACCAACCTGAGCTATGAGACCTTACCTCAACCTTATCCCAACAGCCATGAAGCAAAACCAACCAAACAAAACCCACAACACAATCTGACCCTTTGAAACACTTGTAAAAAGCAAGACGGCATGTTCCTTCCCCTCTCAAACCTCCCGTTTGCGAAGTCTTCTTCCCTTGGAGAAATGAGAACTGTTCTTGGCTTTGCAGCCTTTAAGCAATGGGAGCTGGATCTGTGGAAGGGCATGTTTACTCCCCATATACAACTACACCCTTGATTGCAGATCTGGTTTAGTTCCCTATTTTATATGAGGTTTTATCATCTCTCCCCACCCCCTCATAGGAGGATACTCCATCGCGACTTGAAATCAAAGAATATCTTTCTGAAAAATAATCAACTTAAAATCGGTAAGATGTTTCAAATGCGTGCTCTAAAGCTACAAGCAAGCTTATCCTAGATGCAGCCACAGCAAGCTGAAGTGCATAGTTCAAGCTAGTGCTGAAGTCATCCAGCCCTGGCTTCTGTAACCTTTGCAAATATTTGTTCTTACCTGGATGAGACCAACAAATCCCAGTTATTTTGTTTGTGATGATCTGATCTGAACTGAAGTATAAAACACTTGCTACATGGCTGGTTGATTTAAAAGGCATGCTTTGCAGTCCTGCTCTTTATCAGGCACTTTGTAAGCAGTTGACTTGTGTTGCTGGCTTCATTAATTGCTGGGGGTTCCTCATTTACTTAAACATTTTATGATTTTTTATGTGTATGAGCATTATGCTTGCATATATGTTGTGTACCACATGTATGCAGTGCCCACTGAGGCCAGAAGGGAGCATCGGATCCCCTGGAACTATATATAGTTGCAGCTTGGTTGTGAACTGTGGGTGCTGTGGATTGAACCTGGGTCCTCTGGAAGAGCAGCCAATGAGTGCTCTTAACTGTTGAGCCGTCTCCATCCCCCACTCACTTACTTTAGTACAATCAGTGAACAGTGGCCATACATAATTTAAATGCTGCTATAATGGCTTTATTAATATTTAATTCTTTGGAACTATATCTCCATTCAAATAGTTACTCAATTGTCTAAGCATCACATAGGAAATTCTTATGGAGGAAAAGAATGCAGGTTGTGACTAACTAGAGAAGTCAGTGGATTCAAATTTTTATTTGTATATTCATGATTAGTTCAAATCTTAAGAATTTTCCCTTTGTTCTAAATTAATATCAAATTCTTCTCCCTGCAGGTGAATTTTCATGTCTTCACATTCAGTCCTTCTAGAATCCTTCTGTTAGTTATTATCATACTTCAAGTAGCTTAATAGCGGGTTATTCTAGTTTTTTTTTTTTATAATTTTAGAAATAAGGAATCTGAGGTTGTATAATTCTCTTTCCTTGTTCAGTCTTCTTCCTGTAAAGCATGCATGTTTAAAGCTATTGATCACCATTATGTAATTTAAAATGTCACCTTCCTTTTCCCTTAAAATAGCACGAGGTACTGTGTAATATATGGTGAAGTGAAATCAATTTTAGTTCTTAATTTCCAGTGATGGTCTTTGTTTGTTTAAACTATTTACACAAATTAACCACAATTTCCCAGGGGATTTTGGAGTTTCTCGACTGCTGATGGGATCGTGTGAGCTGGCTACAACTTTGACTGGGACTCCCTATTACATGAGTCCTGAGGCCCTGAAGCACCAAGGCTATGATGCCAAGTCTGACATCTGGTGAGTAGGTGGTGGCCAGCCCCAGGGACTTCTCTCTGCATTTTGTTTTGAAGTTCATCGGCTTACTCCACCCACTCCCTATGCCCCTTTGGGCACTCGAGGTGTTCTGTGGCCAGAGGGAGATGAGGGCTTGGAGCTTGTTATACTCTGTGAAATTCATTTCAAAGATTCTCTCTATTCATAGATGAGTCGGCTGGTTTGGATTCTGCGTTCCTGAACCACAGGGGAAAGTTCTTAATGTGGCAGAGACATTAAATTTTGATGTGCTTCAGCTAGCCTATTAAATAAAGCATTTGTCGTCCTAAAGACTGTGCTTTATTTTATTTTAAGGTTAACTCCCAGCTCTGTGGGGAATATGCTGCTTTTCTGCATTTTAAAAGAATTTTACTAAAGATACTGGATTTACCGGTAACCTACATTTACCATTTCCTGGGTTTTCAGTGATAGAGACATCTGTGATATTTCAGTTCCATGGCACTCTTGGACCAGGCAGAGCCAGGTGGGAAAATGCCTCAGTCTGTCCCACTGTTAGCAGCGGGCCCTGTCCATGGAGTGTTGCTGTACTTTGAAGGGGGCTTACATAATTTTCAGCATCCAAGGGTTGAAGGACAATCTAGCTGAGTGCTTGTTAATTAAGTAAATAATTATTGTATGCAAATCAACACTAAGTAGTTCTGGACCTTCAAAGATGAGCAATGTGAAAGACATGCCCACTTCTGTTTTCTAAAGATGATGAGGCAGAAAATGACCTTTTGTGTGGTTAGGGGGAAATGAACCACCACAGAGCAGCTGGCTTAGGGTTCCTTAAGAGTCTGTTTGCTTTGGTGCCGCCCACAGGAAGAGAGCTGTCAAGATTTGCTCTGGCTCCGACCTTCCACACAAGTCTTATCCCTTGATTTCAGGCTCATGGTTGTTTGTTTTGGGGTTCGAGTCCTTTGTCCTAGAGGTCCATTCCAGTTCACCCATCACTGTCCCTCCCCATGTGCGCCCCACACCAGAGGAGAAAGAAAGCTTAAACAGAAAGCAGAAAGCAAAACCTGCCAAGGAATGCCACCGGGAGCACCTTTCTTCACATTGTTTAATTGAGCACGCACTTCCTCCCTAGCACCGCGCAGTGACCTGGATGGAAAAGCACAAATGCTTGGCTCTTGCTCCTTGTGAAAGACCTTGCTCATTTGGTGATTCCTTTTCCAGGTCAAAGGTAGCAATCCTGGGCTTTGCAATGGCTATTAATTACCTACCCATCTCTCTCTTCATGTTTAATTTAAAAAATATTATGGATTTTAAAAATAGATTCAAATAGGGTTGGAGGGGGCATGGAAGAGAGGAACTGGGAAGGGAGGATGGGGGAGGCTGTAGCTGGGATGTAAAATAAATAGATGAATAAAAAATAGATTAAAATATATAATGTTCCCATGACTAATGATTATGTTATCTTAAGTTATTGCAGTATGCCATTTGATTAAGAGCAGATAAGTTCAGAAAGCCATTGTTTAAGTTTCAGGATTGATGTGTGGCAATATACCTGATCCCTTTAGATAGGACATCCACATCTATTTGCCAGATCAGAAGGACAACTCCCAGGAAATGGAGGCAATAGAACCCTGGGAGAAACAAAGCCACTTCTTTACTTTATCTGTGCCCAATGCACTTGTTTACAGATTGTCCTTGTATCAAATGGGGAATTATAAGAATATCAAGCAGTATCCCTGTGGTGTTTTGTGGCTACAAAAATACCTGACACATACAAAATCTATTCAGCATTTGATCAGCTCCCCTACTGTGATTATAAACTACTCAGCAAGTATGGGCTGAGAATGTATCATCTTGACCCCAAATAACCACTTTATTATGAATTTAGTAATTACTTTGCTTGTATCTAAATCAAAACAGGCTTATCTAGTAATGAAATTTCGGCTGCCAAACCTGAAGTGGAAGAAATATCGGAGAACTATTAATTATAGTGGCAGATAGAGAAGTGTGACAAGTGATCTTAGGGAGACACTCAGGAAAATTAGATTGCATGAGCTGAGAACCCATCTCAGCCTTGGAGTGGGTAGCATCTATATACTGTGGAATATTTTCTTGGGATTGGGAATACATATGAATAATTTATAGATGCTTTGCTTTAGCACAAATAGTGGGACATACTATATTTATAGAGCTTAAAAGGAATTAATCAAATACTAGTTACATTTTCATCTGTTAACATTTGCTCATATGCAACCTTACCTTCCTTCTGTAATCTGTTAGACCTTCCTGGGTTTGATTATTTATAGCATTCAAGTACAGGAAGTTGCTCTCAAAAGATGACTTGGTTCCAAAAGTTGAAAAGCAGTTATTTGGAAAGTTACAATAATAAAGGTCACCAAGGAGAGTGCTTTGAACACAATTGATGTGTGTGTTTGCTAAAATCTGTTTTTTCCCCCCATGGGAGAAATATAAATATGACTTGTGTTCCTTGACTGGTTCTTCAAATTGATTCAACTATGAATAGTTAGCACCTAGTCTTCAGATGAAAAAGGACAGTGTTTTAGGGGTGATGGTCCTATATCTTACTGTCAATCTTATTTCCCTTAGGAGAGTCAGCTAGGCTGCTCTCTGATATGGGGCCCTGTGTTTGTTGGGTGTTTTTAAATGGGAAGAATGGTGGTAGGAATCACACTGGTGTTAAATGGGAAGAATGGTGGTAGGAATCACACTGGTGTTAAATGGGAAGAATGGTGGTAGGAATCACACTGGTGGAGTCCAGTTCATGCTTAATTATAGACCCAGGCTTTCGGGATCTCAGAAGGAAAGCTTAGCTATATAGGTGGACTGAAACATAGAGGGATCAGCACCCACCTGTTCTGCCTGGCCCATGCACATGTCCTCACTGGAGAACAGTAGTCACACCAGTGCCCGCTCCCCTAGAGGGCACTTCCAACCCAACAGCCTGCTTTTGAACCTATACAGGAACTGCTTGGGTTAAGAGCAAGTGAAATGGGCCTTTAGTACCAGAGTTCTCTTCCAAGCAGCTCATAAGGCTGGGGGATGTCAGCTGCTACCATGGGAGCTGCTCCCAATTTAGCTTATGTGTCTGCTTTTTTAAAAAAATATATATTTTTTATTAAAAAATCTCTTTCCTTTTGCATACCAATCCCTGTTCCCCCTCCCCCCTCTTCTCTGCCCCCCCACTCCCATTCTACCCCATCCCCTCCTCATAGAGGGTAAGGTCTCCTTTGGGTAGTCAACACAGGCTGGCATACCAGGGTGGGGCCTTACTCAGCCTTGATGCAGTGGGGAGGGGCTAGGTCCAGCCCCAACTTGGTATGCTACTGTTTCCTTCACCAGCAAACAAACGGTTCCCCTGCGGTCTGCTTTCTCTTAGAGGGCCTCCAGGTTAAAGTAGTCTCTACTCCAAGGCTCCCCCCAGTTTCAAGGTCCAGGCTGTGCCTGAGCAAAGGGTGTTGTCATCGAATGCCAGAGAACTAAGGATCAAGGGCTGTGCTGAACTCATGCTGTGTGAAGGCTTTCACTCAGTCTTTGTTACATTGGCTGAAGTGAGTCACATGTCAACTCCAGTAAGCGCAGGGCAGGATGCACTTGTGTGGAGGGAAAAGGAATATGTGGAAAGAACAGTCACCCTCCCAAAGGACCCATTTTGTAAGGATACCAGGCTGGGCTATAGGAAATATACTAGAGGGGGAAGGTTGGAACAGACTGAAGAAAAAGGTAGATTTTTCTCTAACCTGGCACATCCTACTACTTCTGATGTTCATTCCATCTTAAAAGAGCCCCGGGAGACCGCATAAAGTGAATAAGGCAGCTGAAGCCATAAGCAGTGGGGGCTGTTGCCAAATCCATCCTTAATGATGTGGATAGCCGTTGGGAATGGAAGGATGCCTTACTATTATTTCCAGGACCCATCTCTTCTTTGCCACAGGTGGAGCACTGTCCATGGTCCTTTCCTAGACTACGGTTTGTATAGAACACTTACGGCTGGCCTCAAGAATATCTCAAGATAAAAACACTGTCTTTGTCTCACAGCCAGTTTTTCTCATGCTGCTCCTCTTTCTCGTTTCACTCTCTCATGGCTGTTGACCTTGGTCTTCCATTGGTCAAATCCCTGTAGAGGACATGGTACCAAGGGGGTCCAGAAGGGCCAGATCATCTTCAAACACTAGAAATTATGCAAGAGAATATTTAGAACTTTTACAAGCAGGAGAAAGTTCACCCAAACCCTATTTTTTTCTATAATTGTTCTTTAAAACATATACTTTGGGAGGATATGGTGGAAAGAATGGCTACTTTTTCCTGATCACAGTCACCAAATTTCAAGTGCTCAGTACCCCCATGTGGCTCTTGTTTGCAGAAATGTTGAGCATTTCATCAGGGAAGAGACTTCTGTCGTGCTGTTATTCACTCAGTTACTTTAGGTTTTATCCCAGTCCTTGTGCTCATCCTGCCTTGGGCTTGAGAAGGAAGGGCCTCTACTGGTTTCAGCTGCTGGCTAGTCAATCTCTCTGCCCCCTTTACTCCCTCTTTCTTCTTCTCTGTCTTCTGTCTGTCTGTTTCTCTGTTTGTCTCACTGTGTGTCCGTTGTGTGTCTGTGTCTATGTGTCTGTCTCTCTGTCTCTCTCTCTCTGTCTGTCTGTCTGTCTGTCTCTCTCTCTCTCTCTCTGTGTGTGTGTGTGTGTGTGTGTGTGTGTGTGTGTGTGTGTGCATGCACCAGTAAGCAACCTTGGCTGTCATTCCTCATGTGCCATCCACTTTGTATTTTTAGAGTAGACTGTACCAGCCTCAGGGATCTGTCCATCTCTACTTCCCCAGCATTGGTATTTCAAGCAGGCTTTTCATCACATTTGCTGTTTGTTTATTTGGTTTTGTTTCTGTTGTTGAGATGTGGGTTCTGGCATGATTAAACTCGGGTCTTTGTGTCTACAAAGTAGGCTTTCTACTGCCTGACTTTCCCCTGGCCCAGCTGCTGGTCTTAAATGGGCTCATTGTACTCTCTGATC